TCGAGTTCTTTGATTCACGCCTGCTGCTCGGGCCCGAGGATTGTTCATACTCTCCGGATGAAGGTTTCTTCCTTTCCTCCGGTGCCCACAGCTTCACTCCAAAAGGAAGTTCACCATTCTTGTCTCTAGGCCCCGGAGTGGGGCAGAAGGCATCATTGTGCCCCAGGCGGCCACAAGAGAAACAGAAGTGGGGCACATGTTCATACTGAATATCATAAGCCTCCTCCTTCTTCCTCTTGGCCGAGTTGATCAAGATCCACCTCCGAAGAGGTTTATTGACATCTATCGAGACCCTTGCTCTCATGAATCCACCCACGTGATCAAACTGGACCAGTGAAGCTTCCTTGTCAATCTGTTGCGCAATCAGCTTGCCCCATGCCTCGTTCCTGAGATTATATGGCAAATTGGGCACTCTAATCCACATGTGGAGGCGGTCAAACGAGACATCATCGGGCCTCATGTGATCCTCAAAATCTGCCAATATGATAGCATGCTTGCTAATGTGCCATGGCGACCCCATCCAAATTCTATCTCAATCTCTCTGGGAATCAAGCTCCGCCACGAAAGTGTTATCTCTCGTGGATCTGAACTGTAGTCCTTTAGGGTTACCCCATGTCGGCCGAAGAGCGTTGGTGATCGTATGAATATGGAGCATCTGGCGGTGAAGGACCTTGCCTGCGATCAACCACTTCCTCGGTTGGCCCTCATCTGCATCATTGATGATCAGAGGTGTAGCCTCTTCCTCGGTGATACCCATCTTTCCGAGTGCTTCTTCCAGCTTTGCCCTAGCCGTCTGAGCGGATTCGGGCGTCGCCCCCTTACTTGCGCTTGCGGACGCCGTCTCCATCCCTCGCCGGAGTATTGGGTGCGGCCCGCCGATCCAATCTGGCGGCCGCTGTCGAGTCCACCGCGAAACCCTAGTCGCCCGAGCGGGTTTTTAGGTTGCGAGAGGAAACAGAACGAACGGCGCCGTCTAACGGCGTCTAACGGCTGTCGGACCAGCTGACAGTGCCACGTCGAACCGACGGTAAACTAGCTGCTCGTGCTCGCAGTGAGGAGTGTCGTGTACTAGTAGTCTAGTACTAGTAGTCTAGTACTCCCCTTTCATAAATATAAGATGATTTAATTTTCTTCTTCTAAATCGGATGTATGTAGACACATTTTGATATGTTTGTTCATTTATTTTATTTTGTATGTAGTACCGAAAATGGCCTTTGGTGGCCGAGCACCGTGCAGGCCGGAATCAGTGCCGTCTCTGCTCGTGGCGATCGGTGCAAGCCATTAATACGCGACCGTATTTCCAGCGTATTCGTGCCAGAGACAGTTGCTGAGCCTTCGTATTTGCTTTTTAAGTAAATATTGCGGGCACACGTACACTATCACGTACATCAGTGCAGCACAGCATCTAGACAGGCACTCACGTACACGGCACCGGAGTTGACCCGTCAACATGGGCTACGACAGGAAGCCGTTTGAGTCGAACGTTAAGTATACCGCCGTTGCCTTTGCCTGGCCGGCTATTTATAGGAGAGATGGTTCTCCGTCGCAGCCGCACCCTGCCCAAACAAGCTCGATATAGCTTCGTCTTCATCCTCAGTTCGTTCCAGTCAAAGGCACCAGCACTTGCCGCTCATCATGTGCCCGGACTGCGGCGAGGTTCAGGTGGAGACCAACATCAGTGGGAAAGAAGGCGAAAACGAGGGCAAGCGTTTCTACAAGTGCCCGATCGACAGTGTAAGCCTCATTTTGTTTCCTAGAACCATGCTCACCGCGCACGCGCATACAAACTCCTGCATGCACTTTTTTCGATGGACGTTCAACCTGCTTTTGGCATACCGAACGCCAAACCCCATCTCCCAGGAATATAGGTTGTAAAACTCATACGCTTCTTCAACCGTGTCAAAGCTAGTTCCGAGCGACGGGTTAACAACTGTGCCACCCTTGTTTTCTGCATAAGCTCTCATCGAAGCCTCGAGGGCAGGGACTCTGCTTGGGTTGGCATCCCTCTCTTCTGGTGTGTTGCCAATCCTGACTTTGCATACCCTCCAAAAAAACGTTGTTACATGTACTTCCTACTTGTACAGACCGATTCTAACCGTGGTTTTTCTGACAAAATAATGTGTTCTCAGTTGATACGGAAATCAGCAAAAGATGATATAGCTTAACGAAAACTGAATGCAAGCATTATGTTGCCCCAGCTAGCAAAAATGTTCAAAACGAGTTGAAAATAAAATGATTTTTGTGTCTACACGGCGGTGAACTCTGTATATGTTTTTTCTCTTGCTACAGGCAATTCGATGGAGTTCCAAATTTCTGGCCCTACAGCAAAAAACGATGTCCTGGAGGTACAATTTCTGTTCCAGCAGCAAATCAATAACATATGAGTGTGTGTTTCTTACCGTCGAGTCCAACAGGAAGCCTTTGTTTTGTTGACAACGACGCCTTCTGCATCTCCCTCCTCTCCTATTGATGCAGAGGAAGTGTTCCGAGCCTTCACATCGTTCGAGTCGCCAACGATCTCACTCCCACCGTTGTTGTATGACCCGAGATTCGCCCCCACCACTCTCAACTGCTCTTTGGCATTGCTGTCATCCATCGGCTCGGAAGAAATCACATCAGAGGAGCGCCCGCGCCCTTCATGGATGGAAGCAACCACAGACTCCACAACATCGATTCCTCCACCCAACGAATCACCCGCATCAGCCCTGGGTACCAATCTGTAGCAGATATAAAATCCTCACCTAGTTAGATCCAAAACATCATCACGTAGAAAGAATTACTGAAGGACAGATCAGAGACGATTTCAAGATTTTGAAGGCCAAAATCAAATAAACACACCCTTCTCTTGGGCAAGCAACGCAACGAGGAAAAGGGAGCGAAATTCGAGCTCACCCTGATTCTGCTTCCTCAAAGAAGAACTCGAGGCCATCCATGGCGAAACGCCGCTCCACACAGCCACGAACTGGAAGGGGATGAATGACTGACGAGGGTAGGAAGAAGCACCGCTCTGGGGCGTTAAGTCACCTGCGTTGCCAGTTGGGCCCAGGATTAATATCGCACCTGCCACCCATCACCTACATGAGCTGTTTTCTAACGAGCCCAGCAAGCACAGGAAGTGCCTGTGTATCCAGGGCGCACCCGAGGCCCACGTACAAGCCTGGCACACCAGCCCAGGGCACCGATGTATTTCAAATTAGCAGCTACCGTATACAACTGACAAAATAAGCGTGCACGCATCGCAGCGCTCTACTGCACGGCGCCAGATTCCGGCCTGCAGGGTGCTCGGCCACCAAAACGCCACTCTCATGTAGTACATACTAAAATATCACATTTTATATTTATGAACGGAGGGAGTATCATGCATGTAATACCCTAGCAGATAGTATCATATGTTAGATTTTAGACAACTTCATTCATTGTCATGCATAACACATATCAAACTTTTTCTTTGTTAATTTAATGGTATGTCACCCCAGCAAAATTATCTTGTTGACATGCAGGATACTACTTGTAACGATACCCTCAATACGAAAGGTTTCTGGAGTGTATGCACTCAGAGTTGCATCTACAAGACCAACTCTTGCGGTACATTTGGTTGCACGAATTTAATGGCGTGAAATGTAATTAACCGGCCATTTGCCTCAGGAAGACACAAGAGAATTGTGTGTGATTACATTGACGAGAATATTGATAAAGAACATGACCGACACATCAAACTAGTGAAGGTGTGGCTGCTCTGGCATGCAGGGGCAGGCAAACAGAGCGTGTCAGACTAGCCACAATGAGTAGTAACATAGAGTAGTAACATAAACATGTTACTAGTCTATGTTATTATCTCTATAGTGAGGAGTAATATATGTGTGGTAACATACAATACTTCATTTATTAAGCTATAGACACATCTTGCCTTGATATGTGTGATGTTACTCATACTACTAGTAACTAGCTATGTTACTATTTTCTTCTCTTTCTTCATTTATTACTTGGCACATCATCTATTCTATCTAGATATGTATGATATTACTACCTATGTTATTTCCATCGTGGATAGTCTCATATGATCCCTGCAAACCACGGGAAAAAAAAAGGCCTGTCATATGATCCACCTTTGCACGAGCTGCAGAAGTGCCGCCGTGGAATCCCCACCGGCGCTGAGGGCCTCCCTTGCCTCTCTCATGGCCACCAAAGTACGCTCCCGAAGCTCCCTCCCGCCATCAGAACTCATCAGCCAAGTGACCTTCCCCTCGATCTCCTTTGCCGTCACGAAGCCATCTGGGCCTGGTTCCATCGCCACGCCTAGCTGCATCCCCTCCACCAAAAATACCTTGTTCATCCGCTGCTCCGCGTACAGCGGCCACCCCAGCATCGGCACACCCGCCATGACCGCCTCCAGCACCGAGTTCCACCCGCAATGGGTCACGAACCCGCCCACTGTTTCGTGGGCCAGCACTTCCCGCTGCGGCGCCCACGACGTGACCACCAGCCCTCTGTCCTTAGTCCTGTCCAGGAAGCCATTCGGGAGCAGCACGTCCAGCTCCGGCTCGCCCGGCTGCTCGTTGCCGCCCGGCGGGCTGCGTACGACCCAGAGGAACCGTTGGCCACTCATCTCCAGACCCGCCGCCATCTCCTTGATCTGCTCGGCGCTGAACCGACCCATACTGCCGAAGCAGAGGAACAGCACGCTGGCCTTCGGCTGCGTGTCTAGCCACGCAAGGCACTCTTCGCCTTGCTTCTCGGCTACCTCCGCAGATTGTACCAGTGGGCCGACACAAAATAAGGGCGGTGTCGTGCGCCCCGGGGGCGTGCAGAGGCCGGAGGCGACGGCGTCGGTGGCGCGCGGCTCCAGGGATCGGCAGCTGTTCACAATAACGCCGTGCGACTTGCACAGCTGTTCGGACAAGGCGAGGAAATGCTTATAGCTCAGGCTGCTCCGATCGAGGAAAGCAGCGGGGAGGTCGTGCGCCGGTATAGGAGTGACGCCAGGCACGTGCACGAGCTCGCCGCCGAGGTCACGCATGCTCACATCGTTTTGCCCGTGGATGACGGGCAGGTGGAGCAATACAGCCAGGCTGGCCGTGCAACTCTGGAAGAAGAAATACGCCGGGATGCCGATCTCTGCCGCGACATCGGCGGCGCTGTAGCAGAAGAAGTCGAGGAGGAGGGCCGCCGGGGAGGTGACGCGGAGGAAATCACGGAGCTCAGGGTTGGAAGCGCGTGTAAGCTCGAAAACCTTGGCCACATGGTCGCCCTCCGGCACCCCGTGCGGGAGTGGCGGCTCCGGGATGTAGTGGAAAGAGAGAAAGGGGCTGGCTGAAGCGTCGCCGTTGCCGTACAGGGAGGACGCGGGAGCTGTGGCGTTGCCGGCCGGAAGGCCACGCTGAACGACGATGACCGCGAGGCCATGCGACACAAGCAGCCTGCCAAACTCCACCGTGGGGATCAAATGGCCTGCGCCAGGCGCAGGGTACATGACGACTGTCCTCCGCGACTCTCTGTCGCAGGCTCCTTGGTTTGCCTCTTTCATTTTAGGACGTGGCTGTGGGAAGACGAATTGATCACGGATTATTTTTTCAGTTTCCAGAGCGAACGTGAGGATAAAGTATGCTATGCGCTTCATTTCTGGCCACAACCCGTACCTACCTACCTACAAGGTGATATGACGTCCAACGGAGCGTAACCTCGACACGTCGAAAGGCATATTTCTTCTTCGAACCAATGTGTGATTGGATGGTTAGATAGACTGTGGTATCTCCAGTCCATCAGGGTTCAAGTCCTGATGCTCACATTTATTTTTAGACGAGGTGTCTATGGTGACTTCGTAAATTTCAAGATGATATGCCGGCTCAATCTTTCGAAGGTGTTTATAAGGATAGGATATGCGTGTGTATGTTCATAGATGTGAGTGTATGCGCGTGTATATGAGCACATGTGCCTGTGTACTGTTAAAAAAAATATAGCACACAGCCAAAAGATACATGATAATGTGACACTCTTACAAAGCCGAATGAATCACGCACACTCAGGACCGGGCCGCTGAAATCACTGGACCTATGCCAATTTCTAAAATGGGGTCTATCTCATTGCAAAAAATATAGTCTTCTTTATGGCTTAACAAATGTATTTTTTAAACAAGATATAGCATCTTCTTTGTCAGAGCTGAACTGAACTCAATTTGATTATATACAAAAACAGTTTAGTTTGATTTCATAAAAACAAGGTTGCTACAGACTTATTCATATGCAGTGGTTTTTCAGTTAGTGATACTTCTAAGAAACTAGCTCTAACAATAAAATCGACTAGTTATACAGGGTCTTACGGGCTGACTAGTATAGGGTAAAATAACCTACTAGCCCATTCAGCAACACTCAAATTAGATGGAAATGATACGCAAAAGAGAAAAAATGATGGACTATTGTTTCCATTAGAAAATACTGCGAGACTAGGAATTGATAGACTTTTGAAAAAATGATTCGTAGACGATGGATTGCAGAATGTTGTACAAAACAATTTGGTGGACTTGTGAAAATTCAATACAGTACATAATTAATAATATGGGCTTGACATTACCATGAACTAGGTTGTGACTTGCCGGAAGAGCTGTCGGCGGCAGCGAACAAGAAGTGGCATTGGTAGCGCCGGTGGTGCCTCCATGACCTACTCCCATGTGGGTTGGAAGGTCGGCCGGAAGCGATCTTCGACGAATTGGACGGGACGACAACTGCAAAATGGGAGCTTCGGCGGGGCAAGGTCGATTGGCAGCCGCCATAGACTATTATTGTGTGGATGAAGAAGATCGTGTGTTGAGTCTACATTTCTCAGAAATGCAATGCCCAAAAGATTAAATAAATTTGAATATGTACCTTCTGTGGGAGCATCAGGTGGATTATTGGTGGCCTGGAATGATAAGATCTTTGAAGGACATAAGATGTTTCGGAATACTTTTGCCCTGTCGATAGAATTGACCACAAACTGTAATGGAAACAAATGGATCTTTTAACCAACATATATGGGCCATGTCATACTGAGAGAAGAGCAGAATTCCTTGATTGGTTTCAAAATATTGACATGCCCACAGACTGGGACTGGCTTGTAGTTGGGGATTTTAACTACATTAGATATTCCAATAACAGAAGCAGACCAGGTCGGGATATACAGGATATGATGAACTTCAATGCTGTAATCAATAATCTGGGACTGGTGGAAATCCCAATAAAAGGTAGAAGCTTTACCTGGAGCAACATGCAACAAGCCCCACTTTTGAAAAAATTGGACCGGTGCTTTTCCTCAGAATCTTGGACACTCAACTACCCAAATACCAGTGCTTACTGTTTGGCTAAACCAATTTCTGATCATGTCCCATGTGTTATCCAAATAGGAACAAGCATCCCCAAAGCAACTATTTTTAGGTTTGAAAATTTCTGGTTAAAAATCCCAGGATTTCAAGATACAGTTAAGAATATTTGGGAGCAAGAAGTTCAGGCTAGTTCAAGTAATAAGAAAATTACAGCTAAATTGAAGAGACCGGGGAAGGGATTAAAGATCTGGTCAAAGAGCATATCCCAATTAGCCATGCTGATTAAAAACTCCAACCAGCTAATTCTGCTCCTTGACATTTTGAAAGAATATAGAGCACTATCCACTGCAGAAACAAATGGAAGGAATATTATCAAGTAGCACTTAAAAAATCTCTTGTCCTACCAGAACATTTATTGGAAACAAAGGGCAACAATTCGTTGGATCAAATTTGGAGATGAGAACACAAACTTTTTCCAAGCCAAGGCCACCATTAAGTACAGGAAGAATAGCATCAAATCCCTCCTGGATGAAAATCAAGCAGAGCACACAAAACATCAGGCCAAATCTGCTATTTTATGGAGAGCTTTCAAAAACAGGATGGGGACTTTCAATCCAATCAGCAATTTCTTTAACTTAGAGGAATTGCTGACAAACAATCAAAATCTGGCAGAGCTGGAAGCTCCTTTCACAAAAAAAGAAATTGGTGAAGCGATCAAAGAGTTCCCTGCTGATAAGGCACCAGGACTTGATGGATTTAATGGAGCATTTATAAAATCATGTTGGAACATAATTGCTGAGGATTTCTATGAGCTAATCAATGACTTCTATTTAGGATCCATAGACCTTCAACCTATCAATGGGTCTTATATCACTCTGGTACCCAAAAAGACAATCCTCAGAACCCAACAGATTTCAGGCCAATTTCTTTGCTCAAATTCTCAATTAAAATCATTACAAAATTGCTGGCCAACGGACTTCAAGAAATCATCCTATAGCTAGTTCATACAAACCAATATGGTTTCATTAAAAATAGGTCTGTACAAGACTCTCTTGCTTGGGCATTTGAATTCATACATCAATGTCAGCAATCTAAGAAACCAATGATCCTTTTGAAACTAGACTTTGAGAAGGCATTTGACATGATTGAACATGAGACAATTCTGGACATTTTAAAAGCTAGAGGATTTGGACAAAATTGGATAAGGTGGAGCAAGATGATATTCAGCTCAGGTTACTCCTCAGTTCTACTAAATGGGGTGCCTGGGAAGCAATTCCACTACAAGAGGGGAGTGAGACAAGGGGATCCATATTCACCTCTTTTGTGTGTATTAGCTGTCGACTTCCTACAAACTATATTGAATAAAGCAATGGTAGAAAATCTCATTCAACACCCACTGCCTTCAAACTCCAACCAAGATTTTCCAGTAATTCAGTATGCAGATGATACAACTCTGATTCTACCGGCAAGTCCAAGACAACTCCAACAAGTGGATAATCTTCTGAAACATTTCTCAGCACACACATGCCTAAAAATCAACTTCCACAAGTCAATCATGATCCCTATCAATGTGGAGACCTCCATGGTTCAACTGCTACTGAATGCATTAGGCTGCAAGCAAGGAAGCTTTCCTTTCACCTACCTAGGGCTCCTTCTTAGTGCAAATAGGCTGAGGGCTGAGGATTTTACAACCATCTGCCAACAAATTGAGAGGAGACTGACAGGTTGCTCAACCATGATTTCGTTGATGGGAAACTATTGCTTATCAAGTCAATCTTCTCTGCTTTGCCAATCTTTTTATGAGTACACTACCACTACCTGCTTCAATCTCCTCTCAAATCAACAAGTACCTGAGGGCTTTTTTGTCGAGAAAGTTTGGGTAAATAATTGTAGGACCTGCTGGACAAAGTATGTAAGACAAAAAGTCAAGGTGGACTAGGCATTTTGGATGTGACAACACATAACAAAGCTATGCTCATGAAGAACATCCAAAAATTCTTAAATAAGCAGCCTCTGCCATGGGTAAACCTGATATGGGAGATTTATTACTCAAACTCAGTCCCAGGAGACAAATTGGAAGGTTCATACTGGTGGAAGTGTCATCTCAAACTTCTGTAGGAGTACAAACACTAGTACAGCGAGCTGCTAAACAAACGGTTTTTAACCTCTTTCCGCGATGACCTTTGAAACTGTCGCCAAGTGAGTGTGGGCGATAGGGGGGTCCTTTCCAAACGACCCAGAAACCGTCGGGGATATGCCCTCCTGGCACACATGCTCGGTAAAATGAGGTCGTGTGTGACCGGCGAGCACTCAAATACAAAAATACATACAATAGTGCTAAAAAATACAATTATATAGGTGAAATCATTTCCGGTCGTAAGTACATCCCACACAGTCAGCCAGCGCTAAACGTTTCCGTTCGTATATACATCCCAAACAGTCGCTCCAAGAAAAACGTTTATGTTCACAAGGACATCACACACAATTTTCCCGGTTAAATCGTTTGTGATAACGTTTCCATTACACACGGTATTAACAATTTTATCGTTTGCGTTATTGAATTCATCACACACGGTGCCTAGAAGAAACTTGTGTCAAGGGTTTTTCATCACACACAGTTTTTATGTGGTAAACGTGTGCGCCAGGTGGCCTAACGCAAACAGTTTTCAAGAGGATGTCGTGTGTGATTGTTCATTAATCTAACATGGTTTATTCCTAGAAACTATGTGTGTTATTGAATGAATCACACACGGTGTTTTCTCAATAACTGTTTGCAATAGAAAAACCCAATTAGCAAGCTAATTATCTGATTATTCATAATCCATTTATTAAGCTAATTGACATTTCATATTAAGCACACAATATATTTCATTTTCATAATTGAAATACATCAAAGTACAATATCATATAGTTTCAGCACTCAGCTACCACATTACACAACTACACCAGGACCAAGTTTCACATGAAACATCTATAACCTTTCGAAATTAGCATCATAGACGGGACACAGACAGATGTATCTCATCTGTAAAACTGCTGAAGCAGATGGCGAATATTGAGCCTTCATTGATGTTGAAGGTCTTTGTAACTTTACGCCAGTGTCTGTGGATGATTGACTGTCCATCCTTCCTCCTCTTCAGGAACACTTCAATATTAAACCGTGGGTGTTGTATGAATACCTTCCTCGCCTACTGACCATACAAGTGGTTTGAGAGGTAATCATCAGTGAACTGCTTTGGAAAGGCCTGAAAACAAGGATGGGCATAAATATCTTCTCTATATTGGAAATGGGGCAAAGGAATAAAAAAAGGCAAAGTATAATA